GCGTTCTGTTAAGCTTGTTTCATGAGTGACTCTGGTTTGGTCTGTCTGCACCCAGTTGCGAGGGACTCCATGACTTCGGGGTTCTCTTGGGATTCTGTGGGAAGGAAATCTTCCTGTCTGCTTTGTCCATACCAGGGATCCGATCCAGATCTCAGACCCCCGGTGGCTGCGGGGGCGCGCAGAAAACTCGGTCAAAGGGTTTCTCAATTTCCCTCTCCCACTGTATGTGTGTGTGTGTATTTGATTACCTGCGTGCACGCGCAAAGTTCTGGATCTCGTGCGTCAAGACTTGTGCACATCTGTTTTTGGCAGGGTCGCCGAGTTGCGGGGGAGGGGCTTCTTCAGTGTGTGTGTGTGTGTGTGTGTGTGTGTGTGTGTGTGAGCACGCTCTGCGCCTGAACTCTACTTTTTTGCGGAACTCTGTAATTCGCAGCAGATGACCACTTGGGGGGATGCAGGCTTTACTGGGGATGTGAGCGTTTCCTCAGACAGCATCAGAGCACACACAAATTAATTTGCTTTATAGGTGATGCTGCTATGTGATGGAGCCGTCTACTTGATGCGTGCAGCACCTCTCTCTCCACTTTTCACAGCAACAAGTGGATTATGGACGGGTCGATTTCCAGTGTGAGAGAGGAGAGGGGCGACTGCACCTGAACTACACAAAGCGAATGCCGCATCAGTCCCTGGCTGTGCCAGCCGCGCTGTGGGAATGGATGCCAGCAATTTCCTGGCGGGGATATGCTTTTTCCTGCTGGCGCTTAATGGATTAATCTCTTCCTCGCCGGCGACAAGCTTTTGTCCCGACCGCTGTGACTGCCAGCACCCGCAGCACCTCATGTGCGCCAACCGCGGGTTGCGCACTGTGCCCAAATCCGCCGCGCGGGTGTCCGAGGAGGTGCTGATCTTCAGCCTTGGGGGTAACTTCATTGGTAACATCTCTGCCTTCGACTTCACGCGGTACAGTAACCTCATTAGATTGAATTTACAGTACAATCAAATACAAAGCATTCAGCCAAAAGCATTCGAGAAACTCTCCAAGTTGGAAGAGCTGTACCTGGGACATAATCTTTTATCAAACCTACCCGCTGGGACTTTACAACCCCTGAAGAAATTATCTATTCTCTATGGAAATAATAATGACATTAAGAAAATCACACCGGAGCTCTTTGCCAACTTGGACAATCTTGTTAAATTGCGTGTCGACGGCAATTCAATAGAAGTTCTGCGGGACTCTGTTTTTAAAAGTTTAACCAGTCTACATTATCTCCACCTGGAATCCAACAAACTGCAGCATATTCACAGAAACGCTTTCTCTAAACTCACCAACCTGCGCTTTCTAAACTTGGCACACAACAAGTTGTCAGCCGTGCGCAATGCCCTCACTTTTTCCCAACTCAAAGCTTTGACCACTTTGCTGCTGTCTGAAAATGAAATCCAGTACGTCGGAAACCACGTCTTCCAAAATCTGAAAAAGCTGTCTAAACTGTCCCTCAGCAACAACAGAATCTCTGGCTTGGACAGTGGGGCTCTGAAGGGGCTGTCGAGCCTCAGAGAGTTTCTGATTGAAGGCAACGAGCTGGAGGAAATCCCCGCCGGTCTCCTCGACTCCCTGGAGCGCATCGAAGAGCTTGACTTCAGTCGCAACCGGATTTCCAATGTGGACTCTTTGGCTTTTTCGCGTCTTAAACATTTAAGAGTGCTGAAGCTGAAGAACAACATGCTCACCAGCCTGTCCGGTGACCTTTTCGCCCTTAACAACGTGCTTTACGACTTGGATCTCCATGGCAACAACTGGACGTGCGACTGTCGTCTGGAAGAACTGAAAAGATGGATGACTGTTGCGCATTCTCAGGGCAGATTGTTGACTGTTTTTGTGCAGTGTCATCACCCAGCAACTCTGAGGGGGAAATATCTGGACTATGTGAACAGCTCCCAGCTTCAGCCCCTGGGGAACTGGACCCATTTGTGCAGGAGCCAAGCTGGGCCTGAGGAGAGCCGGGGAGGTGGGGTGTTGGTAAAGGTGGAGGGACAAGAGATAGGTGCAATAAGGCAGGAGGTGAGGGGTGAAGAAGGCCAAGTGGAGGAGACAGAAGGTATAGATTTGAGACAAGGGGACACGGGTGGGGTGATAATCAAGAAAGAGGGAGAGAAAAGTAGGAGAGAGGGACAGGAGGAGGTGGGAATCCAGAGAGACCAAGGGGGTTCAATTGTGGCAGCACCCTCTTCTTCACTGGAAAGAAAGAAACCAAAGAAGGAGTCACTCAGCCCAAGGTCACGACCTGCTGCAGAGGCAGCTGGGAAACGTGCAAAAGGGAGACGTAGGTCAAATGTTATCTCCAGAACTGATGCACCAGCTGTTTCCACACCAGGTCTTACTAGAATCCAGGACAGAAACACCACTGATCCAAACACAGGGATCACCACCTCCTCTCTGGTCCAATCGGGGGAAAAATTTGATCTTCTGAGGTCAGATCAGGAGGAGGCACATCCTGTAATCACAGATCCTTGTGTGTTCAACCGCCACTTCATCACTAATGTTTCAGTAGATCAAGTGACTTCCAGTACAGTTACCGTCTACTGGACCACCAGGGATCATCACCGCTACACACCAGGACATGGGCCCGTCCTAGATGAAGTCCACTACCGGATTCTGTTTGACCGCTTTGGCACTCCAGATCGTTTCCCCCGCTATGTTTACACTCATGGTACAGCTCGCTCTGTAACCCTTCGAGAACTCAACTCCGATGTGACCTACATGGTCTGCGTGGAAGGAGTAGTGGGAGGATCAGTGTGTCAAGTAGCACCCCGTGACCACTGTGCAGGGCTGGTCACTCTGCCTGAGGGGTTCAGCCGTGGAGGTGTGCTGACCTCTGACCTCCAGCTGGTGACGGTGGCCACGCTGGCCGGGAACGCCGTGCTGCTGCTTGTCATTGGCGGCGTCTGGCTGGGGCGGAGCCTTAAGAGGAGGTTTGAAAGGAGGAAGTCGGCCGTGCACGTGCGGCACATGTACTCCACCAGGCGACCGTTTCGTCCCACCATGGCAACCGCCTCGGTGTCTACTGACTTCACCAGCTACCAGAGCAGTCGTCCAGCACGACTTGCACCCCTAGAGGAAGGGGACCTCATCGAGTTCCCTTGCGACCGCTTTATGGACAGCAGCAGTGTTCGCAGAAACAGTGACATGCAGAGATTCTCTGACTAGAGCCATAAAAACTACAAAATGATTGACACTGTACAACAGGAAGATATGTGAATCTTTGGCCTAGCCTTCAGAATACAGAAAATACAAACTCCCCTCTCTGGACACACCGCAGTGTCACATTAAAAAACTGGGTGTGTTTGTGGCTATGAACAAACCGAGTTGAGAACACCACCATTTTGTGTTTTGTTTTTTCATTTGACCACAAGAAAACCTTTAAAGCGAAAAAAAAATTACAGCTGAGCTCATCAGTGCCTTTCAAGACACCAGAGGAAGTCCAATCCCTCTGACTTCCTCTTCCTGCTTTGCGCTTTTCCTCTTTCATTTCCTTGCACCTGTGAGTGTTTCTAAATGTGTGATTGCAAGTGTGTAAGCATGAATGACTGATCACTGATTTCAACTACGGTGCTAATAATGAGTTCATAGACATCATATTGTCTCACATTTGTACAGTATGTAATGATGGCTGCTGGTTGGCAGGAATAATATCACTTGTTTTGTATCACATCTATCATGTTTTTATACTTTTATATATCATTTTGCATTACATGAAGAAGTAAAATCCCCAACAATGTGATTGATTTGTCATTTGAGTGTTTGTGGATGATTTACCTCTATAATAGATGTTATTCTATGTGTGGCTTTCAAATATCTTTTCTGTAAGCCACTGATTATGTAAAGCACAAGGGGATTATATTTCTAGACATAAGGGGACTATATGTAGAGTACTCTATATATACTGATAAAAATAGGATTATAATACACAAAGATTACTTGCATTAACCTCTTGAACTCCAGGTCGTGTTTCACTCTATTTTTACTCTTATGACTCTCAGACAGACAGGTCAGGCTGCTCAGAAATATCATTATTTGTGAGTGTTACATGTTTTAGTATACTTTTTAAAAAATCAAAATAGGTTACTTGCTATTCACTGGTAATATTAGCTTCAACATATTTCTTTTATTTAAAAACATGCGGCACTTAATGTAAAGTTTTCCTCTGCAACCGATATTAGGTGCGTTAGAGAGAGACCTAAACAATGTGTGAGTGTGTGGAAGATAATAGCAATAGTATGTCAGAGAATTAAGTGCGTGTGTGTGCATGTGTGTCCATGCTCTTGCATGCGTGTCATGATGAGGTCTGGCAATAGTTAAGCAGTCCCTTTGTTTGAGTAGACAGGGTGGAGTGCCTCCCACACTTAGTCCAAATCACAAACACACGCACAAACGCACATGCAGACACACACACACACACACACACACACACACACACACACACACACACACACACACACACACACACACACACATACACACACATACACGAATGCATTTACACAAAGTATTTTCATATCACCAGTCAAGATGTCAGAACAGGAAACGTATATAAAGCTAATATTCTACACAAAAGAGCCACTATATACAGCTAGTACCAACATGAAGTCCTTGAGTTTGGGCCACTACTGATAAAAACTGTCAGACAGATTAAATGTTTAAATAAAAGCCAAAATGCAATTTTAAATGTTTCTTTGTGTATTATACATAAAGAAATACTTGAGTAACTTATTGGCCTAACATACAACAGGCTAGGATCTACTTTACTGACCACTCCAGTTATTATGGTCAGCTACCACTAACAACACCAGTCACTAGATGGCACACTAGACCATACTGTATGTACAGAAACAGACCGATGACTATAACCTCATTGCTCACAACCACTGGCTTACTGTGTCAAAATAATGCTGATTGATATCATAAAAAGATTTTAAAAGGATATTAAAAAAACACAAGGAAATAGCAGAATAAGTGTTTTTATTAACTGACAAGGATTGAGACATGAGGTGCAGTTTATTAATTATTTAGTGTCTTAGGGCAGTTAGAAAAAGGTGCCTGAAAGAAAATACTGTACAATCATTTTTTAAATGGCTTTCCAAGACAGTTGTGGGGTTGCTTCGTAATCTCAAAATAGACATTTCATTTTTGCCATAGCATGAATTATTTGTAGAAAAATACATTTTGACTCTGCATCCAAGAAAAGGCATAAGGTATGCACTCGCAGATGCTCAGTTAGAAATATACAACTAATATATAGGCTTTGTTTTTTCAAAATTAGTGCAAGATATAAGAGCAAAATGTACAGAAAAGATGTGCTATGATTGTGTATGTCCATAGTCAAGGGGTAGCAGGCAATGGTTAGATTGCTGTGAACAGAAACAGACATTTTCTGAATTAACACAGGATCCAGTTGCCATGTAACCATCACAGTTTTTAACAAGGCTTTCAGAAAAGGTCATTTTTGCACCTGTTATGGAAATGTACCAGTATGTGGTTCTGGTCTTCTCTCCAACCAGAAAAGATGATAATAATGTTGAAAAATACCTCAGTGTTCACATGCATTTTTGAATTCACCTATCCAGTTCAGTATTTCATCTACAATGAGACACAGATCCATAGCTGAGTGAGACTTTAGTGTGGTTATGACAGTAGGATAATTCAGTCTGGTAGGATTCGGCCACACAAGTCCCTACCCCTTCCTCTATATGGTGAGGGCTAGTGTCCAGGCTGGGGGTCGTGCCCTGTGTCGCCTCCAGCTGTCGAGGAGGTGGAAATGCTGTTGTGTTGGATGGCCTGCAAATGAGACCCAGGACCTACACTGGTGGGACTTCCTCCTGGGCTCATCCCTGCAGCTGGACACAGAGACAGCTGTCAATCAAAGTCACTGATCTGTGACTGATTGTCTGTTCTTTAAGTGGGGTTTGTGACCATATACATGCAAATGAATGAAAAACCCACTACAGCTCAGATTAAAGGAAAATATCTCTTTTATTTTAACAAATACAGGTAAAAAGACAACAATAGAAATATACGATATATAACACATGCCAATATTGCATCCATCTTTGTTCTCTGAAGCTCAAAACTTAAAACATAATGGCTGCTTTCTTTTAAGCCACAAGGTGCAGTATTTGTTCAAGATCTTTCATTTTAAGTCACATACAGGTTCAATTATTGTTTAACTTTATCTTTAGCCTGCCTGGAGTGCAAGATGGGCATGTTCTGCATTTTGTTGCAAGCTAGCTTCGTGCAAGGCAAAACAGCCAATGCCAGGATATTGCATTGCACTCCAGAGTATTTCAAATACCATCAAGGTCTGGTTCATTAAATGAGTGTGAAAATGGCAATGAAAAATATATTCCTTTAAATGGAGAGTTAAGAGTGCAATGCTTTCCCCTGATTGGCTCTCCATGGGAATAAAAGTGCATGTACCAATATTTGGAGACTGTGGGGTTAAAAGCAGAGTTTTTACTCTTTAAGTGCTGTTTAGTTGCACTCTGCAAGAAACAGTTTAAGGTCCCTGTGTGTGCTGAACGGTGGTTTGTCAAAACAAGACAAAATGTAACCCTGGGGTGTTCCCTTACGTGCACATACAAGGTATGAGTTATACCCTCAGTGGTGGATGGAGATGATTGATGTCAGGCATCTGGGAAAGCTGGTGAGATTTCTAGAGAAGGGGTGCAGGGTAGTGGGGTTTTACTCACTGGGGTACCCCTGTGCCTCTCTCTGCCTGGCAGTGACAGGACAGTCCTTGTGGGTGAGCAGTATCTGCTTCAGTTGACCCACCTCCGACCGCAACGACGTCACCTCGTTCTGCAAACACAAGGAAATAATAAGTATCCCTGAAGTGCAGATTGTGTGTATATGTGTGTGTGTGTGTGTACTTGTCAGAGCGTGTCCCACCTGTAGCTGCAGGTTTGTATGCGTCAACTCCTCGGCTTTCTTCTCCAGTGACGACACCCATAGTTTCCTCTTCTGACGGCAGCGCGTGGCTGCAGCGCGGTTACGTTCCAGAAACTTCTGCCTGCGTTCGTCTGGGTCATGCTCTGCCGTCCTCCTGCGACGGCTGCTGCCTCCTCCTCCACCACCGCTGCAGCTACCACCTGCCTGCACTGCATGCTGGGAGTGGGATGGCTGCATCTGCTGTGATACTGGTGATAACTGCAAACAAAAATTAGACATTTTAAAAGTAACCCCACTGTGCCTGAATGCATATATTTGAGTGTTGCTTGTAACAGCTCAGACCTAAACAGTAAATATAAGGCATCGTACCTGTGCTGGAACAGACAGGGCAGGTGCAGGAGGCGAGCCCTGGTGCAGGTGGGGAGGCGGTGACTGGTGAGCCTGAGCGTGCGGTACATTCGCTGACTGGTGAATCTGGTGGCTGTGAGCGCTTCCCAGGTGCTGCGGAGGTGGAGCATGGCATCGCGTTTGGTAGGTGAGGGGTGGAGCTGGAAGCTGATGATGATGAGGAGGATGATGGTGGTGTTGTAGCGGAGGCGCCTGATGACGCTGCGACATCATCTCCATCATGTGGCCCATGGATGTTACAGGGTTGTTGATGGCGACCATCCCTGGGTGGTGCTGTTGGAAATTATGCCCCAGCGCCTGTTTGGATCTCTGAGTGTAGATAAAAAGATAAAATATATATGTATATATAGTTTTATATATGTGTATATGTGATGTGCTGAACAAAGCAAACTTCAAAGATATTGTTTTTCTACTATTGAAAAGTTGAAAATAAGAATGAAAGAAAATTCTTTTAGCATTATTTAGGCTGTGAGCCAGTTCTTAACTCACAGAGGAAAAACAAAGTTGTACATGTCATTTCTTTAGGAAAGATAAACACAGTGGAGCCTCAATAGTTGACGTTCTCATTATAACTTGCATATTTTCACATCCTCTTGTCTGAACTGCACATTCCTTCATATTCAGTTCATTATGGCTTCTGGGAATGTTACAGACAACCACATTCAACTATCACAATATCTGAAGGACCTGGTATAAGAGGACAGAGGCAGATGAGCGTTTGCATCTGTTTTTCAAATCCCCAAGTGCATGCTGGGATATGTAGGTCCAAGAAAGCCCCCAGGGACACTAAATAGGAGCAGGTTGTGGCAAGTGAAATTTAGTTGCTAAATGTTACTGAGAAGATTTTAACACTAAATAACTAAAGACTATGGCCAAACAAATTCTTCCAACCTCTGTCTCCAATGCCAGTGTATGTCTATTAATAAGGAATGGCCACAGACCTTGCTAACTACTCTCCTATCTGTAGTCTAAGCACGAAAGGGCCTCTGATGTGACCATTTATGTCCCTGGATGCAAAAAAAGGCCTACAAACATATAGAATGAAGCACTGAGAAGATTGGCAACACCTGTCTGGATCAAAATGCTTTTTAACTCTCCAAAACTCTCCTCTTCTTTCCGTACTCTTCAACATCACACTTTAACCCCTGACTAGATACCATAACTCTTAAAACACATTTCAAATTTCTCGCTAACTTCAGTAAAGTAAGAAAAAAGTCTATTGGAGACAATCAGTACAGTATGTACAGTAAGATTGCACTAGAATATTTAAGCCAGCACTGGTATTTTATAAAAAATATAGGTTCTAAAATTCAACACCTTTATATGTATGACTTATTCCAATTTAATCCTCTATTTATACCACCACAGGGTTATTAAACCATGTATGAGCTGATGTGTTAAACTAAACACTATATATGAACAGCTTGTGATTACACATAAACATTTTCCATCTATCGCATAGTGGGTGTGGTAAGTTTGACACCAGCTAAATTAGTAACAGCAGATAAGCTCCTAACCTACAGGTCACCACAGGTCAAACCTAAAGAGCCAGTTCCCACAGTCACGTACTTCTAGGTAACAAAATGTTGCAAAATTAAACCAATAACTGCTCCCAGCCACAATCCCACACTCAGTCCATCCCACTGCCGTTTCTACTAATCGTCCACAACCGTGGAGACAACTGTAGATAAGAGGGATAATGTGTTCCAATAAATGCTGCTTGCTCTGCAGCTTGATACCTTCACACTTTATCATTCCCGCGTATCATCTGACTAAACAGACTGTAAGAGCTAAATTAAACCTCATCTCACCTTTCTCCTACGCTCAGCAGAGGAGAGGGAGAGAGGGAGAGGTCATGTTTAGAGCATGACATCACCCCATCTCCCTGGCAATATTGCTATCTGCTCCCCTGTTATACAATATTTCTTTAAGAGAAGTTTTTTTTCCTCCCTTCAACCATTCAGCGCTGAAAAAAGGGAGCACATTTAGCGAGTGCCAAGGATGAGGTCACCGAGCCGTCTGTGCCAGCTTTACCAGCCAGCCAGGCTGCCAGTCAAACACACACGCACAGCCACACACACTGAACAGGACGGGACACGAGTATTTCAGCTCTGTTTACTACATAGAAACACCCTGACACTGGGGCCTGTGATTACATCATGGGTCTCCTTGGACTGGATGACACACCGCGTTGATATTTCTGTCTGGAGGGACCAGTGAATGAAGACACGAAACAGTTCATGAAACACTGATCCACTTGTCAAACGTTTACTTTTCCACTTCAGCTGAGTGTGGAGTTACTGTACAACGAAGGCATGTTAATACACCTTCTGTGGTTTTACAGAAACAGATTCCTGTTTCACACCATGGAAATGCAAAACACAACACCTGGTGAGACTAAATTACAACAGAGTATAATAAAATTGGTGTGGAGAAGAAGTCTATGTGTTGTGTGAGAGAAGAAGAGAAGTTCAGATTTGAACCTGCGACCTGAGCAGCTTCTGAAACCTGAAACCACTTTTCATTTGCCACTCTATATACAAGCTCTGCACATGAAGTCGCAACCAGTGTGTGTGCGTGTGGCGATTTCACAGTTTTCCCTCTGAAGTTGCTTTTGATAGCACACATATATTTAACAATTCATACTACATGCACCTGAAAAGAGGAAATGTAAAATTTACAAGGGGAGAGATTGAGAGCATGTTGACACAAGGAAAATAAAACAACCAAGAAAGCCAGGGAGGACATGTAGATTGTGACTTCCTGTGGTACGGACCGTGTGTGTGTGTGTGTGTGTGTGTGTGTGTGTGTGTGTGTGTGTGTGTGTGTGTGTGCACGTCTGTAAAAGTGTAGAATTACGCTTACAGAGCAATTAGAAAGGAATAAGCCAAAGGCAGAGTGTGTTTTGTGGCTTTAATTTAGTAGAGATGAGAAAAGTGAAATCCTAAAAAGTTAAAGGAACAGTTTGACATTTTGCTTTAGCATTTTTCTTTAGCTTTGGCTTAGCCTAAAGACAGGGAGAAACAGTAATCCTGGCTCTCTCCAAAGCTACACCCCTAAAGCTCACTAATTAACATGTTATATCTTATTTGTGTAATCCGTACAGATACAGTAAAAAGATGCGTCAATGTTTTACAGGTTTTGCTGTTACTATTAACTATTTGTTGGCTCTGATAGCGTGCAATACCAGGAAGTTACTCCCAGCTACAAAATAGTGTGGCACGAAACCCCCAGTAAAACTAGGAATTGTCATTTTAGCACTTTTGTTTTGTACAGATTAAACAAAATAAATATAATGTTTAAATTAGTGAGCTTTAGAGATGGTTTTTTTTGTTATTTTCGGACAGAGCCAGGCTAGCTGTTTCACTGTGTTTCCAGTCTTTATGCTGAGCTAAGCGAACCAGCTGCTGGTGGTATCTTCATACTTACAAACATGAGAACTGCTTATCTACATCTCTGCCAGAAAGTAAATAAATTAATTTCCCAAAATGTGAAACTGATCAGTTTTCATCCAAAAACAATGGCATTAGTATCAGTTTTTAAAAAGCTGTTTGTGGTCCAGCCGTAATGTGTGTATGCATGTCATAAATAGTAATAATAAAATAGCGTGCTCATACTGAGAATCTTTGACACAGCATAATGTTATTTCCAGAGGAGTAAGGAATAATCTACAGAAACTGGAAGCGAATATGAGTACTTGAACTGGACTGGTACCTGAGGTGAGGAACAGGAGGGGTTGTGTACAGGACCAGGTATACCCATTATACACGACATCTGCTTCTCTATCTGAAGAAGGGAAAAAATTGACACAAAAATAACCTTTCAACCATGACAAGAAAACGCTTCGGCACATACATAACCTCAAGTGTAAAGGGGTCACATCCATTTCGAGTTTGACACTTTTGATTAATTCATCCACAAGAGTGAAGTGAATTTTTCTGTCAGCCATGAATATTTCTAACTCCGGGATCTTGACCACTTTGGCCACTATACCTGCATCAATAAAACATAATGCACGTGTCTGAATGCAAATGTATGTGTGTGAGCAACCAGTCTCCCCATACTTACGGGCATGTGCTGAGCAGATGCCCCTTGCATGGCGCTGTCTGGGAGGGGGCCAGGTAAGGAGGCCGGCAGCGGTTGTCTGTGTCTGTTCCGCATGTGGAGGAGGGAGGACAGCGGCCCAGGAACCGGCCTGTGGTCAGCCACAGAGACAGAGAGAGAGACGGGTCATGCCAGAGGGCTATCCGCAGCTACAGTTTCACTAATCCGGGTTCAGAGAGAGGTGCAAGTTGCAACATTTATAGCCGGGCCTTAATGGCAGATAGAGGTGAGATTGAGATAGATGGACATGGTTAAAAAAAGGTCAGTGTGGAAAATAGGGATAGATAAATGGATGACATAAAGGTTTAAATCTACTAGGACTGACTGACTTGATCTGTCACTTCAAAAGGATCAATTTGCTCAAAATTGGCACATTTACTGATTTAACCTAGGAGGTGAGCATCTCAGAGATTTCAACCTCCATCCCAGTATAATGAAGGTGATTGGAATATTGTTTGGGGCACTCAAAACATCTAAAAATGTCAGTTTAAGCCCTGAGTGTTTTCAGAGACCATATTCCACAGATAATCCACAGACCTTGCTGTGAAAACTTTTCATTGAAACTATTTTGTGCCGAAAAAATATTCCGTGTCAACATTGTTGCTCTGTGGATTATCCAGAATAACTTGGACAATGTTTCTGGAGAGAGTTGTTTCCATTCCCACATTCTGCTCACCTCCATTGCACTGAGGTGCAGCGTTGCTACATTCTGAGGTTTTGTTCCCAAATGGGCTACTAATTTAGGTGGTTAAATCTGGCAAAATTTATTTCCTAGTCAAATTATTATTCATTCATAGCTCTTTGATAAAAGCTTTGTAAATCTGTCTCATTTTTCATCTTGTACGCTTAGAATTTAACTGTGTTAAGTGTTTACAGTTGTCAAGATTTAGCTGTATTTGCACCAAAGCTGCATGTGTGTGTTATTTTACCAAAATGTCATCACATCCCACAGGAGACAACAGTGGAGAACAAAGGCAGGTTTGAGGTTGTCATTGGAATATTTGGTGTCAGTCAACACTGGGTAGAGGAAGACATCTCAGAGGTGGAAAACTTAAAAACTGTGGGCACATAAAACCAAACCTATCTGCAAAGCTACAAACCACTAGAAGTAAGTGAGAAAATATGCTGTTTTATAATTTGGGTCAACCAAAACTTAGAAATTCTGGACAAAGGCTTCCGCTGAATGAAAAAAAAAATCAAATGTTATTGTATGTGAGCAAACATGTGTAAACAGAGGTTTGAGGTGAAGCAATGACAATGGAAACTATGATGAGTTGACAAAAGCGGGGAAAAAAACAAAGATATGGAAAAAAGTGACAGCTTGAGAGGCAGGAGAGAATCTAAGGGATCACAGCAGGGGATGTGGAGACCCGGGGTGCCATGTGCTGACCTAACCGCTCTGGCTCTCAGCCAATCAGACAGCGTGGGCCTCCGTGGCCGCGCTGAGGTCATCAGCAATGATGTCATCACTGAATCTGGGGTATGCGGCATTTAACATACAACAAAGTACAGACAAACCAAAACAGCATTTCCTAACGTAACCACAACAGCTCTACCGGGCCAACAGCCAGACTCTCAGAGACCAGATCGCTATGGAAACTGGTGGTAAACATGAGGAGAAACAGTCAGACACCAGATCCATGGTTCATTTAGCAACACTTAGCTGGTTTCACCGACTAACATGCTGTCTGGATTCAGAGGGCACTGATTTAGTGTACTGTAATTGACTGTCAGCTCTCTCCCCACTGTCCCGTTGTGTCCCGTCTGATCCTGGACAGATGTTTGAAACTCATTATGTCATTGACATAGACTTATAAAGGCTTTGTTTGTCTAAATATGTGTTACAAGCAGATGTCAGTTATAGGTCTGTTGATGGGTGGTTGGAAGGCTTTTCTTTCTGTAAGACTGGGTGTTGGGATAAGAAGGGTTTAAAATCCACCCCTTAGCCTCCAAAAACATTAAGAACAGTGCTACAAATGTGAGTCCCCCTGGTGAAACTGGGGGTTTAAGGTACTGATCATGTATTCACAGTGTTCTCTGGTTGGAGTCTGGCAGTTGCATGTTGTTCTCTGTGTCTCTCCCTCATTATTTCCTGTCTGGCTCTACTGTCTCTAAATAAAGGCATGTGTCCAAAGTCCAAAAACATTTGACAAAGTGTCTACAATTGTAATAATGAAACTTACTGAAACTAATGAAATGCTTATTTTTATTTATTAGGTGATAACCACGACTAGTAGACAAAACAATAAAATCCTTTTCTGGGAAAAAAAGAAATTAAGTGTGCTCTCTGCTGAAAATTTGCAGTTGAAACATTTGAAATAGTCCGAAGTTCAGAATGAATATAAATTATGAATCACTAATGTCCTCCACTGCTTTTGTTTTAAATGTTCCTTAAGTGTCCCATAAAAGTACTGGTGAGAGAGCCTTTTGTTTTTATGCCCCTCAACTGTGGAACTCATTGCTCCTAGATATTAGAATGACAAGCTCTCTCAGTATTTCTATAAATTCTTTTTAACCTGGCTTTTAATTTGGAGTAATGTTATAGCCTAAGTTTTTATGTTTAAACATTGGTTTTTACATGATTTGTCTTCCTGGTGTTTATTTTTATATCGACTTTTCTTTTTTATGTTTTACAATTTATTGTTTCTGGTGTATTCATTTATAGTCTTGCAGAATTGTATTTATTCTTTTGTTTTCATGTGTTGTTTCAGTTTGTTATATGAAGCACTTTGGGCTGCATGTTTGTATGAAAGGTGCTATATAAAGTTTGGGGAAAATATAGTGAAACCGTTTTACTCTGTTTTTGTTTTGTGGGGTGTTTTCTATGAAAACATAATTTTGCTTCTTATTAGAAATACTTATCATACTCCAGTCACAGACATGTTGTTATTGGCAATCTTACTTAAAATGTCAAATATTCTATGGTCAACTAATTTTTTTTTTATTAGTTTCTTATTTTTTATCTATTATTAGTTTACTTGCCTTTTTTGTATTGATATAGTTCTTCAGTCTATCTGTCATTTTATTTTGACATCACAGACGTGCCTATTATTTCATTTCCTAATAACTTCAATGCCACATGCACAGTTGTATGGACAATGAGCACTGAATGCACAAATGTAATGTATGTAGAACATATCTGCTCAATAAAAAGATATTTTTAAAATATAAACATAATGTAAATATTAAATATTTACAAGTTACAAAATGTGCATGTTAGATTATAACTGTGGAATGTCATCTACACTAAATCTAGTGCTGCTTGCTTTGTCAACTACAGTGTTACTGCCTAAAGTCATGGAATTTTAATCAGTGAATAATTGAATACATTGAAATTTGATGACTAAAATACTATAATATAAAATAATATATTTTTTCTCATCAAACAGCATCCTGAAGGTAAAACTGGTGTGAAATCTTTCATTGAATCCACAGTGTATATGACATAAATCCAGATCCAAAGTTGAAATGTCAGGAAGAGAAAGAGCAGCTGCTGGTCAGATGAAAGACAGGAACTCCTCTAATCTGTCTGTTGAACTGGGTGATAACCAGGGAGCCGTGGAGGCTGCACAGGCGCTGAGAGACTCCAGTCTGGTTCTGAGTCTTAACAGACATAACAGAGGCAGTATTTGGGTGGCAGGGTGGGTAGTGTCAGTGGGTTTGAGTGGGTGTTATGCAGCGGTTCTCCATCTCTTTTGCTATTACTTTGTTCTCTCAGTAAATTGATGTTTGATTTTCTGCCCCTCCCTTCTCTCAGTTCATTAGTGCAGTGATAAATTATGCAGGGGGAAATGCCAGTCTGTGCCAGACAGAATGAGTTATAATACATCCAAAACAGGATGGGCGAGACAGGGTATAGGAGTGGAAGAAAGAGTGAGAAAAGGCTGCATAGAAAGGAAAAATGTGTTTGTGTGTGATGAAGAGAGTAAGTATAACTCTATGTGTGCGTTCAGTTGCCTTTAGGTGTGTATGTGCGTAGCCATACTCACCCTGAGTGTGTTAGGGTGGAAGGAGCCTGGGTGATGACTGATCCGGACTGGGAGGAGGACAGAGCTTGCTGGGCAGCCAGGCTGCAGCTGGGGCCTATCATGGGTCCATGAGACTGGGGATGCTGCAGGGGATGGGTCTGAGGATGGTGCAGGGGTTGCTGGGGATGTGGGTGCTGGAGGTGAAGCTGGGGTTTGAGCAGGTTCATACAGGATGGCCCATTATGAGAAAGCGTCTGTGGAGAGAAGTGGGAGCAACAATCAGCTGGGACCACTTTGGATTCTCAGGGCAGTGTCTGCTTTCAGTCCGTTGTGTGTTTTATCATCTGAGGTGATTTTGATGTGTGTGTGCATGCATGCATACATTTGTTTAGGTGTGTGTGTGTGTCTGCGTGCGCTTGTCTGTGTGATGTCTAGCTGTTTAATTTAAAGGGGAGAATGTGATCGCCTGGTGTGTCTTTCCTTGCAGCAGGTCAGATATCTGCAGTCGTCTAATTGGGTCTGACTGCTTTTATCTCACATTGAAGTGTCACTCAAAACGCTAACCTGACGGACCTCACAAGCAAAAATGCATATCAGCAATATAGCACAAGTCAGCATTTGGTCTAGATTCTTGCTTTCTATACCTTTTAGAATAACCTCAGCCTAAGAGAGTCAAAAGTAATAGAAATTCTGCTTAATTTTGCTGTGCATTTTTCTGTAAAAATTTACCTGTTTGCTCTTTTCCTCTTCTTGTGCTTGAAGAAACTCTTCTTCTATCTCCTTGAATAGACCAACCTCTTCACAGTTCTGCAAAAATCGGGTTGGTGTTGGAGTCTGGTCTGGAAACATTACATACAAATACACACAAAAAAGGAGAGACAGGTTTAAAAAAAAGAAAATAGGTAGACATTCATGTATCACTGCCCTTTTGCAACAATGGTCTCTCCTGTTTTCTCTTATTTGCTTTCTAAATCAACCGTCGTAGTAAGTTGTAATGCTAAGTCTCCTCTCAGCCGCGCTCTCTGTCTCTCCCTGTGATAACATCAGTCTGTCTCTCCGAGCCGTCTAAACATGCAGGGGTCAAAGGTCAGCTGGGCTCTTTGTTTTGACATGAGATTTCCTGCAGGAGGCGTGACAGGCTGCAGGATAGAGACCCAGACAGAGAGAGGCTCAGAAGGAGAGTCTGGAGAATTTAGATACCATGTTGATGTTTACGTCCAGATAGACTGCTGTTTCTATGGTTACAGACTGTGTCACATGACAGTGCTCTGACCACGGCCTTCTGGATCATGGTGGTGCAATAGAAAAAAAATGCATGGCTAGTAAAGCTACTTTTCGTGCATCTTATTCTGCATCCTTCATTAGCATTATAAGGGCTTTTACATTTACAACTTGAAAGCTGTGACGAACAATTGGATTACTATAACTGATGCAAAAGTATGAGTGGCTACAAGGCAGATCTGTTTTATTTAATATCTCTGTGGAGTTAAAAACCATGGCATTAATAATTTGTTGTTGCACGCAGTGGATACTAGGGTCTGATTGTGGTTTTTAAAAGCCATTTTTCCCCTTATTCTCCCACAAGATTCTCCCCTGTACCTACTTGCACTCCCATTCCTCTTACTTTGCCCAATATCCAAATATGAGTAAAATATTTGTGAATAATAAAATGTTTGTGCTGACCCCTGCACACCTCCTCCCTGTGTTAAATCAATCTGGGTCTTCGCTGATGGCGATGGCGTTATCAGAATGTTTGGTCTAATCTGATGGAGTATACTGTACATGTTGCAACATGAGCAGCTCCGTTTCACAGCACAGACTATCTGAGGGAAGGAAGCCTGTATCGAGCTTATCTGATTTCATACTGTATAACGTAGCGTCATCATTTTTTCATCAAGCAATGATCCTAAAAAGAGGTCACCACACACACATGCAGCCAGACAACAGCTGAACTGAGTGACATATAGCATAACTAAGTAGTGTAAAAAAGAGGAAGATTATTTGTGGTTATGGGAAGTTAAGGGGAAAAACTATTAGGCTAAAATAATTTCCCCCAGGCTAAAATATTGCACAAATAAAAGCTTTGGGATAGAAGACAGAGAACTGACAATATGTTATTTTTCTTTTTTCTATTCTTTATGCAATTGCTAGCTTCTTTTGGCTCCCTCACCTGTAAAAGCTGTATCCGTCTTGATGGAGGGGAACTTGAGGGTCATCTCATGCTTGTGTCTGTGGATGATGAGATGTTCCTCTAACTGGAAGCGCTGCAGCACACCGACAGAGTGAGAAAGACATGAAGAGATGCGTGCAGCTGTATGACATGACACATGGGATGAGATGTTCAGTTAAATCAGCTGACGCCTCTCGTAACTGACTAATCAATCATAATTGTCTTAGTCAGTTGACTATTTTAGAATATGTATCATTGTTTATAATGTATATATTATATATATATTAAAAACTCTGTATTTTAATTTCACCCTTTGGATATTTTGAATATAATTCTTATATAGATATTATAAAATCTTATACCTTGAAAATCTTATTATCAGCCTGGATATTCATTGTGTCCTCTCTCTTTTTTGCCAGCATACGAAGACCAAGCTGAGCAGTTGACCATATAACTACATATTGATCAGTTATACTTAATAATACTTATACTTAATAATAATAATCAGGTCATAATTACTTTTCTTCAATATTAAAGAATTGTATTTGACTTACACAATACATTATTTTATTCTATCAGGAGTTAATATCTGGCAACAACAATCATATATTTTCCTGCAAAATATTTTTCATTATAGCATTACAGTGCAGGTGTAACACACACATACTGTTTGAAACTTACCTGAGAGCAGCCCGGAGCGCCGCACACATAAGGCCTGTCCTGTTTGTCATTCATGTCATACACAAGCCTGCAAAACAGAAGAAGCGAGAATAATACATCAACATGCAACCTCATTATACTGTATGTTGGGAACTGCAGTATATCTATCAGGTCAGTTCCTGTACGACGATTTCATTCAGCAGGAAGCCTGTAGTTCTCTGTTCTGTATTTTTATTTACACAGAGATAATGCACTTAGACCAATCACACTCTAAGCTCGCATGATATGTTATCCCCTATTTTCACATCTTTATTGTGGAAGTTGTGTTTAATGAGGTAGATGCCACAGATGATGGATGTTTCACCCTGAGACATGACATTATCTCAAGGAAAATTATCCCTTTGGTGCCAGCGGGAGTGTAACAGTCTTGGCTTCTGACAGCATCACTGTATACTGCAGGTAGTCATTTTTATTAGGACAAGTACTATAATACAAATCTGTTTGTTTTTACTAACTGCTTATTACACCTTACTAATAACATGTAAGCACCAGATGGGCATCAATGTCTTACAGCATCATGATCTTCACTTTTCATGGTCATTATGTAGCACAGTGCTAAGTGTAGTGCGATTGTTTCACCCTACAATTAGGCTTTCATCAGGGCATCAGTTAATAGGGTGATGAAAGGATACATGCTTTCCATGCATGACATAAAAATAAAGTCATCATAGGGTAAAAATATCAACACAAACAAAGAATAGAGCACAATGATAAAGCCACATAGTGCCAACCCAGACTTGACCCACTCAGCTCTTCAGTGGAGATATTAAGCCAGTGATGGTGGGTAATTATGACTTATTTGAAGTACCCTTTATTTTCCACTGATAAGAAAAGGAAGTAGCCTCGACCTGAAGCATTCCTCTGAGCTGAATGTCACCAAACATGATTCACACACTAGTAAAGGAAGCCCCAGAGGTCAAAAGGGTGACTGACTTTTCACCTTCTACAGTACTGATAACTGCTGAGTGGGCAAAGAAGTGATCAAGATAATAATGATAATGGTGGAGAAAAACTGCGATGAGAAGTGTCACAGGTACGCTCTGAAAGTTTGGGTTTTGCATGAGCGCCGCAAAGTGCTGGGAAGACAGCAAAGTGGGTCCTGATGTTATGGGAAAGAGTGAGCGCGAGGAGAGAGAGGGCAAAAGTGCATGCTTCCATAAGAAATGGAAAGTGTGTGTGTGTGTGGGGGGGGGGTGAAGAGTGACATTAAGGTGATGGAGAGGGGAATGGAGAGTGGCAGGGAGAGAGAGAGAGAGAGAGAGAGAGGGAGAAGAACACAATGAATAGAAGAGAGAAGGAATGAGGGTGGAAGGCAGCGGAGGGAGGGCTGCACTGTTGTCCTACTTCTGACAGGTTTGAACCTGCCCCAGCCCCCATTTTCCAACCCCCGGCAAGTAGAGGTGACTTCATAGGTGAGTATGTGAACCTGCGTTTGTTTGTTACAAAAGTGAATGAGCAAACAAGTGTCCACAACAATACAATCATAGACAGACAGACAGACAGACAGACAGACAGACCAATAGATCATTTTAGAAAATTAGTTGAAAAAGACAGACAGGTTTTATAGTTCACAGTGTGTAGCCAGTCTTGCAGCAGTGATATTACATAATGTGATATAAGATATATAGATAGACAGATAATTTTAAGACCATCGTGATAATCTTCAACTGTTTTTTTTTCAACCTCTTTGTCTTCCTCTCAGCAGCACTTGTAGGCTATGAGATGAGCAGACTCAGCACTTTTTTTTTTAGCAAAACCTTCTGTCAGAGTGGTTACATCAATGCAGAATGACGTCACCTTTAATACATAAATCCAACAACAGACCGGACAACATGCTGCCAATTCAAGACGGATTAATGTCTGTTTTGGAAGAAGAAAAATGAATATGTTTGAGGCAAATAAATTAATAAAGACTTTTTTAAATGTAGTCTGCCATTAATGTACACTTATGATCAAGCAATGATGGTGAATGACATAATACACACACACACACACCTTTTGAAACCACCTGCCGAATTCCTGCTTTAAAAGCGAACCCTTGAGACTTTAGTTACTTACTACTTCTCAAAGTTGCCATGTTTGACGGTCGAATGTCAACAAAAACATCGAACCGCTCGCGCCCGGCTTGGAGTTCATTCAGCTTAAATTAGGCAGCGGTTCTGACCAGCAAGTCCTCCGTCAAGGCGGGCGGTCAGTGCCTGTGTGTGTCTCGAGAACATTGCCGGTGTGTTTCCTTTTTCCCTAACGCTCCGTACAGCAACCTGTTCAACTCATAAACAAGCCCGGCACAGCTGTATGGAGAGTGCTGTCACACCCCCCAAATAGACACTCGCGCTCAACCCGTCCGCCTGGTGATGAGACTCCACCGGGACAGCTAGCCAAAAAAAGTTAACTTTCCACTAGCGTAAAAAATATATTTTTTTAAATATTAACGTATTGAGATAAATTCAGCAGACTGTGGTTAGCGTCGGGAAAGCGCTTGCTGTGGGGTTTAAAGTTTTGTGAATGAAAGTAAATTGAGGCTTACCTACAAGTAGAGAGGGACAAGCGGCGCTCCAGAGAGGAACCACGTTGGACTGGAGCGGGATTACAATACGTTCTATTTACAGAAGCATTACATCACCCTCCCGGTGACGTCACGTGGGATTCCTGAACTTCTAAATCATTGCGGTCCCGTACGGAGAGAGGGTGAGGGGGGCGGGGTTATGACACCGGCCGGTAGGGGGACGGACGGGACGGCAGTTCGGTGGTGGACCTGGACCTGACAGGCGAGCCTAGTCAGGCAACGTGACGGGACACGGGGCAGACCGGGTGGGCGGATGAAACCCTGTTTTCTCTCTCTCTCTCTCTCTCTCTCTCTCTCTCTCTCTCTCTCTCTCTCTCCCCACTTTCAGTGTCTGTCTAAAACGGGACGTCCCAGCGTCTGCATCGAGTCTATGCGTCAAAATGAGCAATAGCCCCCAAGGTTTTTATATTCAAAACGGGTTATGATATGTTTATTTCTATAACAACAACAACAACAACAATAATAATTATTAGTATTATCATTATCAAGATATTACCTACAAAATATTAATGATATTTTTACACACCGTGCTTTACCATATCATGCACCCTGCTGTACTGTATGTAAACATATATGCATGTAAATAATCCCTGATTTAAAAATAATCTATTACATTACCATTCAATATTTATTCTTTTGCACTATTTGTATTTCTTTACACTTTATATAAAAACTTGACTTGTATTCAGACATTGCATGTTATTGATCATTGCTGCTTTTTATATATATCTATATATAAACACTTTATTTTTCAGTTATATGTCTGTTTTTTTACCTCTTTCTTTAACTTTTTTAAATTGTGTGTGAGTAACCTTAAACCAGAGTCAAATTCCTTGTATGTGTATATACTTGGCCAATAATGCTGATTCTGATCTTTTTTTCAAGATAAACCTAAGAATAAAAAACACGTATTATCAGACAACTATACAACCAGCATACAATATATAACATCTACCAACCATCAAGCAACAAACAGAATTGATAAATAGAAATATTCTAATACAGTAATCAAAAAACACTTAAATTATAAAGCTTTGAAATCTAGAATGAAAGAACGTAAATATTGTTTGCAGTTCATTCCATTTAAACGGTTTACTGTTCTGCTAGGATTTGTGCAACCATGTGGGACAGTAAGATTCAGTTATTATTGGATCATACAAGATGCTGATTGGGTTCATTGCTACCATCAATACGTCCGCAGTCACTACACATGGGTAGCCATTGTGTGTTGAATGTGATGTCATGAGTCAGGATCAGGACAAAGAGTCGCACCCCATACTGACACAAGTATGTGTATGGGACACATATTTCATACAGGAGAATCTTCACAGTTTAAGACCCTTTATTCATTGTGTTTTGCTTTTAAATATGACTTTTTTAAAAGGATGAATGGTTAGGCAGTTTTGATAAAGATGCAATATACAGGCTTATCCTTTTTAATGTTTTTCAGACAAGTTACATTAAATGTAATTATTGTCTCTTAAAAAAAGAAAAGTTCCCACTGATAAAATTATTTACATGATGCCATGAAATTCCATAGGGACTTTGGTCATTCACATCTCCACTGAGCTAAACCATGCAGTAATATCTCTGCCATGTTTGGTCAGGCTTTCCGGTGCTCCATCCGGACTTGAGCTGAACAGAGGGATTGGGTTTTGTTGTGGTTGAAGCGAAAATGGGACCAAACCCTACTGACTCATCATCCACCAATCGCCTAAGGTATGCAAATTGTGGTACCCATGGTAATGAGAAGAAACAGGAAGTTGTGATGATGTCAGTCTGTGTTTTGAGCTCTTCCCCCTTGTGGATGTGAATCACTGCATTTTGTTTTCAGTGAAGATAAGGGATGTTTTACAGCACGTGTGCGTGTGCGTGTGTGTGTATGTGCTAGTGAAGAGCGCACAGTCACACTAAAAAGTGTATGACGGCAGCCAGGAAGTCTCTGGCTGGTGCCCCGGAGCAGACAATGCCACTGAGATTACAACTACCTCCATAACTCAGTGGCTATACCAGCCATTACCATCTGGCATCTTCACCTCAGCATGGCTTTTAACAGCCAGACTGGGAGCTTTAGAGAGCTGCCTTCTCCGAGTCTGATGTCACCTTGTCTGTAAAAATATGGAGTTTCAGGTCAAAGGTCAAACAAACTTACGGACCTGAATCCCCATGTAGCATTATCCTCAGTGCAGCTACATCACACATCTGGCTCAGCTGCCAAACAGTTTTGATTTTAAACAGTTTTTGAGTATTTCTTTCAGTGAGTTGCAGACTAATGTGGGACTAATGAGCGACTTTAAAAGTAACTGGAAACAGATATTTTAAGCAGCAACCAAGTATACAAGTTAGAGTCATCTGATTATGTAATGTAATGGTTGGAGTTAAATTTACATCCAACTCTGCCCTCACATGCAGATCCACTCATGAGCAGACCACTGGTGTGTGTGTGTGTGTGTGTGTGTGTGTGTGTGTGTGTGTGTGTGTGTGTGTGTCGGTCAATAACATGTGCACACACAGTTGTGTGTTGGTCTTCACACTGATTTGGACTGTTTGCCTTGAGTGGAAAAGAGCTGATAATCAAAGATCCAATGCAAGTTTGAAATCTATCCCAAGCTGTTGCATTGTGCGCCACCCACAGACCTCAGATCAGATGATGTCATGCACCATGAACTCTCTGTGTGTCTCGCTTTCTCTCCTGCGTTTCACAACACATGCTACCACTTCTCATTTACGTAATGGTGTTGGGAACTGCGTCACTGTCACAGTTCTGATACACCATGTGTGTGTAATGAGTGTGTTTATGTTGAGTGTGTCTCTACATGTTTGTGTGTAAAAGAGAACATCTGTGTTAGGCTGATGAAGTCACTGAATTTCTATACTGTACATGTGTGTGAGAGACTGTGGACGGTGGTGATGTCATGTTGTTTGTGTGAGTGTGTGTGTTTGTAACGGTTAGTACTTGCTTGAGGCGGTGAATTGGAGTTAATTTTATGTTTTTGTGTGTTTCATATGGTTGGATAGATAGAGGGCAGTCAGAAAAAGAGCAAGTGTGTTCCTAGGTCTTAAGGTTGTTTGCTGAAGTCACTGGCCAGTGGTTTATGACAGGCCATTTTAACGCTCGATTAACAGGTCCAACACAGGCCAGCCGGCCCTGGTTAGCCAACCCCAGTGATTTAAGGACATTCTCCTCTCTCTGGGAGCCACACACACACACACACACACACATACACACATTACAAAGTCCTCCCCTCACCACTGAGCCATTACAGGGCAACATTAATCCGTAAAACTTTATGGATGTAATAGATGTCGTTGTCAATGGGTTATGCAACTGCTATAACTTAAATATTGATTCACACATAGCCTACATGTGCAGTTTTACTATAACACCCATTTATTTAGAGTTATCTCTTTGAATTTGCTAATGGTAGAAAATAAACAACAATCATTCTAAAAATGCTACAAACGATGATAAGTTTTAGATTTTCAAAATTCCATTCGTCTGTTCTGAAGCTGTTGCAAGCTAAAGCACTGACATGTTTTATAAACATGTAAAATATTGGCTCCAGACCATTACAAAGCAACAATTGAATCTATTCCATTACAACAGAAAACCCAAGGCAAGGAAATGTATTTATATTGTACATTTCAATTTGATTATGTTAGACAGACAACAGAAATACAACAGAAGGCATTTTTTCCTAAGCACAAAATTAATGTTTGAAGAAAAAAAATAAATGCAGCATCTTCTGTATTCACCATGATGAATATAAAGAGAGGAATTTAGATTGTCAGCATAAGTCCAGCTCACAACCAGTTGTTATTCTGGGACTATGATGCTGACTCTGGGTGACTCTCGTCACCAGTGTTTGGTTCCTCCTCCCCTCCTCTGTCCACACACTATCTGGCTGACTGCTCAGGCCTTACTGGCAAGCTCTAAGATCCTAATGGGACTTTTATTAAGTGTATTATTATAGGGTGGTGCAAGAAAAGCATATATTTTTAGGATAAATGTACATTATATTGCCTGCCACAGGTGATCTACAGTTAAATAACATGTTATAGACATTTGTGAATTTTCTGATAGCCTATTCCTTATACTTATACTTATATATTTAATTTGGGAATTTACAATGAATGAAATATATTAAATGGATTCATAATAAATTTGATTTACTACCCATTACAATTTTTGGATGACTGCTTAATCTATCAGTGTATAGTTTTCCACCAAAGAATCAAATCTTTCTATATTTGCAAGCCTAATTGACAAGCAGTGGTGATATAAAAGGAAAACAACAACAACAGCTACAACACATTACACATTTCTGAATTCACTAATATGTATTTCTTAGCCTACACAATTGAGGCATTCACAATTAATCTGGATATGAGATATGACTAAAACAACACATATAATGAACTGACCCAGCTCTGTTGATCAATATGAGCAAGAAGAGAAGATATGAAAAAATATATATGCAAAAAAATGTGTTTTGCCTATCAGATGTTGCTAAGATTTAACTTTGATTTGATATTTGTTTTTTGTCATCAATAATTGGATTATTCATAGAGCTTCAGGGGCCCTGATCCTAACAGGTAGGCAGGTCGTGACGTGGTCTGTCACCAGCCAGCCCTACCCCCATCCCCACCCCCACCATCCCGCCTGCCTCCCAGCTGCGTCCGCCGCTGTCCTGTCTGGCCGCCCGGTGTCTGCTCCGCCGCTCCGCGCTCTGCGGCGCTCCCACCCCGACCCCGAAGACTCTGCCTCCTCGTTCACCACCCCCGGCTCCCGACACCCCCTCCTCTCCACCCGGTGAATGCACCAGCGCCGAAAACATGACGGGCATCGCCGCCGCTTCTTTCTTCTCTAATTCCTGCAGGTTCGGGGGCTGCGGTCTCCAGTTCGAGTCTCTCTCCGAGCTCATCGTCCACATCGAGGACAATCACATCGGTGAGTCGGGCCAGAAGGGGGAGACGGAGCTAGGCAGCTAGCCGACGTTAGCTAGCCTCCTAGCTAGCTAGCTGAACGCATATAGGCTCGGCTGTGCATTCCGCTATTCCTGCCGCTCGCTCTCCGTCGAGGCTCGTTTGAGTGCGAGTTATTCAGCAACACGGGACTTTAATTCCTTTAAACAACAGTGCTTCTCTGTGAAATAAGTGACGGCTCGTTTTTTTTTTTATTCTGCATTAGCTGTGATAGTCACCTTTTGCAGCGGTAACTCGACTACGAGGGCCGCGTAGGTCTCATAGGTGTAACTAGCATTCCGGCCAGGCAGCGGTTTCACGGCTAACATCGCGGTGGAGTCGGTGTGTTTACGTTTCCAGGCCTGATGCAGAGCGGTCACGCCGTTTGTGTATTGAGCTTGCCAAGTAGTCTGTCGCTTTTGTCACCTCAAGTGTCTCAGCGCATCGACACATTAGTGCTTTCTGATATCATTGGTGTCACTTAATTAACATCGGTTGAACCAAGTTGCGGCAGACATGCAATTAAAGGATTATATTTTACTTCCACGTACAGGAGCTTCAACTTGTTGCTTATTAGATTTCCATCTGACAGTAAACCCTCTGATAACTGTCACCTGACATCTAGAGACTAGAGACTGGTGGCTAATCACTTTACCCACCATTTGTCATGAGACACACAGAAATATTTAGTGTTTGAACACCATATATAACATAACTTATTGATAAGTAATAATAAAGTAATAAGTAGTGCTTCACTTTAACAATAGGTTTTTTTGTATCGGCTGTAATTGATGCATTTATCAACTTATATTTGTCACCATGGATGCATTTGACAAATATGGCCTGTCAGAGAAGCTGAATAGATATTATGTTTTAATTGCAGTTAACTAATGACCTGAATGAAATGCCTCTCTTAAATGAAATCTTAGTAAAAGTCATTAGCATTGCTTTTTTTTTTTTTTTTTTTTGAGGGTGTGCTGCTTTGCTATTGCCCTAAAATAACAGGGGAAAAACATTCAGATGTAGTTTAATTAGTGCCCTGTGAATGTAATGCTTGTTAAATATTTAACACTTTTTGAAGCACAGTTCAAACTGTGTGTCTTCTGCATAAACACTAAATAATCCACTGTGGTAGATTAACCTATAATCCACCATGGCAAATCACACTATAGAAGAATCAAGGGAGTTGTGAACCACCTAAACACTCAATAATCTGTAACAAAGTTGATGTGGGCTAATCATTATTTGCGGCGTGTATCCATCCTCAGGAGGCTGTTTGAAGCGGGTGAGGCGGTGGGGTGAGGGGGTAGAATGGATGCTTCATTGAGCCAGTCTCCATGGCAACTGGCTGTCTCTAAAGGGGTTGGGGGCAGTATATTGGCGGAGTTATTGCACACCTGCTGTCTCACTAACAAAGAGCGCTCCCGAGCAGCCAGCTGTGGTTAAGGCACCCAACATGTGATGTCACATCATATGTGGGACAGGACCGATGTGTGTTGTGAATGTTTAAAAATTGGGGGGGGGGTGTTAAGTTTTTTGTGAGCGTGTTTGTGGGTGAGGAGAAAGTGGAGTGGTGTGGGTGATGGTGTGGTGGACCACTCTTCATCCTCCCATATGCTCTATGGATCACTTGCAGATTGACCAAAGGGGGGGGGTCCTGTGAATGACCATTTTCTATTTTGACTTGTAGCTATAAGTAGACTCCAGTGTTTCCCCCAAACCAACCACTAAACAAATTAACGGGTATGAAGTGGCGGAAATACAAGAATACTGTCTTTTTAGCCACACAGCCAATACCCCACAGGCACTGATATATGCCCCATCTGGCTCTTTGACCTTTGACCCCAACCCTCAGTCGAGCAGAATGGCGGTTTACCAGTCAGATCGCTTGGATTAATGAGCTGCCCCTCTGCTCGCTGCTGCTGGTCATCAGTGGCGTTTAAGATCACACATAGTCTAATCAATACGGCTCGCAGATCAGTTACCACAGGGATGATTGTGACAGATGGAGGGGGATTGAGGTGAGAATGTGCAAGACGAGGGAGGGGAGGGGTGGGGAGGGATAGTGGCTCCCACTTTACTCCCCTGTTTAGTTGCAGGAGTGTTGGATCAACAATCAATCAGGAGATAAGCGAATTTGATCTTCCGAGCTCCTTCTGCGCGAGACGTCAAACAAGCTGTTTGAGGCTTTGTAGATAACAGATCGCAGTGGTTGTGGTCAGTTGCAAACAGATTATGAAAAAGCAGAGTCACAATAAATCAGATAATCAAGAGGTGACAACATGCTTCTGCTATCAGACATAAATAGCTGTGAAAAGTAAGTTAGTGGGTCTGAGGTCAGGGTGCTGAAATCAGTGTATGCCTGTGCTAGAAACATATGGTAATTACCGTAGACTGTGCCGCCATCTTGTGGTAGGATATCGTATAAGCTATGTATCCAAAAAATGCACATTTTTTTCTTCAGCCTCTGGTTTGGCCCCCTGTGTACCTCAATTACCTCAACTTGTATCTTGTTTGGACTCCTGCCTCCTCTCACACAGTACACAATAGCTGGCAGCAAACAGACCAGATGAGCCTTTCACGTTCCTTTTCCGTGAGAAAATGAGATCATATGTAGGTCTTTGGGCCTGACCTCATCCTAGAAGAAAGGATAGCCGCCTTCCAATAACATACCCGTACTGTTTAGATTACAGCTAAATGCAAGAGGAAATGGGTTAGGTGAACAGTGTTTAGTGTGGTGTTGGTTGTTGTTGAAGGCTTTGTGCGGTGACTCTAGGTAAGGTCTGAGGAATGTAATGATGTCAGGCTCGCCCGGCTGGCATGCACGGCAGCGTTGTGCTCTGTTCTCACCTGCACAAGCACAAACCTGCCTCTTACCTCAACAAAGAGGAGGTGGGAGGGAGTATGGGGGGGGGGCAGATAGAGATTAAAAGTGAGAAAAAGGAGAAGAAAGGAGGAATAAGAGCACAGGGAAATCCCAAATATCTCAGCTTTGTTTGGACAGAATTTACTTGGAGTTTTGGTTTTACAGCTGGAATCAAAGGCTGAGATGTGACTTGACATGAGGAGTCGGGTCAGCATTGTGTTGTAATAGTGTAGGCTGAGCCCTGCTGAAGCACGCTGATAATTAACCTATTGCAAGTATCTAAAGGTGTAATCATTCTGTTGGCTGTATTCCTTTATCTGCCTTGGCTCAAAGAAAAGGCAAACGCAAACACAGTGGTATGGTAAAACAGTTTCTGCCTGTCTGTTAACAGGAAGAAAAAGCCCTACCCTCCTGTGTTGTTTAATAAAAAATATAATTGTATAGCTAAGAAGTGAATGGGTTAATTACCAGAATTTGTCTTTGTGTTAGTGTCTTTGATGTTGGGAAATTACTGGATATTATTGTTTGACTGTCAGGTAAATCATTTTGTGATGATATGATGTTCAGAGCTGAAATGATCAATCACTGAATCAGTGAATTGAAAGAAAATGAATTGTCAACAACACTGATAATTGTTTGAATAACTTTTATTATTATCCTTTTGCATTTTTCTGTTGTCCTGATTAATGAGTCCAAGCCAACTGTAAATATAAATTAAGTTTTTGCCTTTCACACAAGGGGATGTAATGCGTAACAGTGGAGCACAGTTCAAGTCCACAGTGACGTTTTGTCTGACCAGCAGTCCAAATCCTTAAAATATTCGGTTTACAATGACAATGACAGAGAGCAGCGAATCCTTACGATTGAGGAGCTGAAACTGTGCAATTGGAAAAATGAATCTTACTTAAATTATAAATTGGTAATCAAATAATTTGCTGATATATTATCTGTTGATCAGCTAGTTGCTTAGTCAACTAATTGTTTTATTGCCATTTGCCACATTACGATATAGATCAATACCCACAATTACCTTCATTAATATCATGTTAATGATTTTACCATGTAACCCAGCCCTACTTTCCAGATTGTTTCGCATCCCACTTTCAGAGGTGTGACACGGGAAGGGGGCGAATGTTTGTGCACGTTCACCGTACTTCCCAAATGACCTGTCAGGGTGTAGCGGAGCAATTAGTGGATTGGCATCCCAAACTGGAAACTGCAGACCCTCTCTTTTCACGCTACACATACACACAGTCACATAGTTTGGCTCTCGGAAGTCGCAGGGCCTGA